TAAAAGGGGGAGAGGGTCTTAAATCAATGATTTTACTGAGTACGTACTTTATAGATGCCCCCTAATATAAAAACATTAGATATATATATATATATATATATATATATATATATATATATATTATATATATATATATATATATATATATATATATATATATATATATATATATATATATAAATATATAAATATAGATCAATATAGATCAAATTATATATATATATTTTATATTGTTTTTTGGAACACCCTAATATATATATATATATATATATATATATATATATATATATATATAAGGTGTTCCAAAAAACAATATTAAAAAAAAAATCTGCTCCCACCCTCTAAATGTGTTCTTTATAAGGGGCCATCCATAAAGTACGTACGCAGGGATGGGGAGGGTGTTTGCCAAAAGCGTTCAAGCGCAAACAAGGGGAGGGGTAATAAAGACAGTGAGTACGTACGCGGTTTGACTATCTTTCCTAAACATGATTTTATTTTTTTTAAAACACTGAACTTCACGTGTGTACAGGGTTGGAAAAAACCCAGGGTTTTTTAAAAAAACCCAACCCAAATGGGTTTTTTTGGGTTTTATTGGGTTTTTTTGGGTTTTATTGGTTTTTTGGGTTTTTTTAAAAATCGATCAAAATACCAAATTTTTATAATTGTATGAGTACAATAATTTTTTTTTTAATTTCATAAATTCACCTCCCTATTGCTCTAATGACCATTTCAGTCAAGGGAGCAACTCATTTTTTAAAAATATTTTGTCTCAATCCTTAACATTACCATTTTTACTAACAAACAACATTAACAACTGAAATTTTTAAACAAAGGCGTTGTGTGGAGAAATAGATTGAGAAAGTAATTTCAGCAAAAGTAATTTGAACCCCAACCTTCTGGTTGCAAGCCAAATGTTTTGCTACTAGTCTACTAGCACATTTTACCTATAGTGCAAAAAGGGACTCCATCAACTATAAATGATGTTAATTAATTGCTCTAAATTAAAAACATGTTCAGAATATTTTTGACTAAAAAAAATCAGTGTAAAAATCATGACAATTGAGTTATTCAAAGTTGGTAAGACAATATAAATGTTGCAAACTAGTTTTTTTACTAACATGTTCAACATATCATTTCAAAAACTACTTTGCACAAGTTTACAACATGTAATCAACAAGTTTGCAACATGATGTTGCAACCTTATAAGTTATTATCAATCAGGATGACTATGAACACTTTTTAAACATTTTTGTATCATAGAAGAAAACTGCTAGTCTAATCACTACATTTTTTTTTTATCAGAACATTATACTGTCCAGCTTCCTGGAAAAGTTATCGGCCTGATCAACTGGACTGGCAAAAAATGGATTTTTGCCTAAACTTTGTTTCTAAATATATATAAAGTAAATTTGTTAAGAACCATTACAGTGTCTTCGCCACCAAGTTTTTTTTTTTCCTTGAAGATGTTTTACCGGCTCAGTTTTGCAATGCAAATTGCAAACTGAATCAAAGTAACACATATAGCTCTATTGTGTGTGTGTTTCTTCACCTTTTAGCAACTTGATACTGATGTTAATTTTCAACCCGCTGTTCATAGTCACCCGCTTTCAACCCGCTGTTCATAGTACATGTTGTAAACTTGTAGCTGATGCAAAATATTCAAAACCTGTCAAAAGACAGATGAGCACGAGTGTCATTTTTACCAAAAAATCTTGTCCTTGTGAAATGCATACAAGTTTTCAACATGTTCTCTCATTGAATGTGCAAGCTTGCTTGTACATAACCTAATTTTTTTTTAAGTTTTAAAGTTGTATGCACTTAAGGACAAATCTAGTAAACTGTAGCATTTTTTTTTTGCCTGATAACTTTCCATTTCTAGACTGTAAATAAAGTCTAAAAATTTTTATATATAGTATTTTGCTTGTGGCTTTGTATTTTTTTTTTGGCAGTTAACAACATAAGCTTTAAAAAATAAAAGATCAAATACCAATATAAAGGAATATAGACATTCGGGAGGAGAATAAAGATACTAAATAACTAGTAATGTCTTGAAATTTAGTTAATAGAATGATTTTTATTTCCTTTATAAGTACTTAACTAATTTAATGTTTTAATACATATTTCAATAACATTTATAATAACTTGCTAAATGTTTTAAAAAAATAATAAATAACCAACTTGCTACAAAAACAGATTGATCGATTTTGGGTATATTCTAAAGACCGTTATGTATATAAATACAGTGTTTACAAGAGTAATTACAGTATAAAGGTTGCACTTGCTGATAATAAAGCATTTATAAGTGTTAAAATAAGAGATATCAGTTGTAAAATAGGTCATTTTTAAAAAAACCCAAATATATTTTGGGTTTTTTTGGGTTTTATTGGGTTATTTTAAGGTGGGTTTTTTTGGGTTTTTTTGGGTTGGGTTTTTTTGCCAACCCTGCGTGTGTAACAAATCAGAATAGTGTTTTTTTTCTAGCTTCTGAGAAAAAAACGAGTTAATTTTGAAAAAGTACAGGTCTTTGAAAGCGTACAGGTTTGTAAAAGGGGGAGAGGGTCTTAAATCAGTGATTTTATTGAGTACGTACTTATGGATGCCCCCTAATATAAAAACACTAGATTTAACATTTTTTGCCGAACCTTGCTTTGAAAATCGGCCCTCTACTCAAAATAGGTTGCCAACCATTAGTTTGACATAATGTTGCGTCTAACCTATCGTTGCGTCTGTTACACAAGTTTGAAGTTTTAAAGGCTATAACTGAATATTTAGTATTCTTCTAACAATATCTTCTAGATCAAAAGCTTTCCAAAATAAAAACACTAAAAAACCTACAATCTTATAACTTTAAACTTATTGTTAACAATATAATATAAATGTTAACACTATAAAAAGCTTTTAATTTTTTTTAACTTTAAAAAACTTTATAACTTTAAACTGACTGTTAACAATATCAACTTAAATGTATACGGGCAAATCCAATTTTAATTATAGCATATTAACAAAAAGGTTATTAAGAATAAAACCTTTTTTAAAATTTTTTTTTTCCTTTATAAAATTATTTAAAATCTAATATATATTTCAGTATTCTTCGCTTCTTATTAAATGTTCTTAGCTTCTTATTAAATCCAGCTTCTTATTAAATGTTTCACTATACTTTGTTCAATAAATATGCGGAGAACTACCGTACGCCTCAATTTTTTCATTGCGCCTCTAGACCTTCTTTGCGGTCGTGTGGGTCTTTAAAAAAACTCTGAAGGTCTTCCGTTTTCGCTACGCGGTCGTGCGGGTCTAAATGTAAGCTCAGAAGGCCTTCAGATACCCTTACGCATATAGATGTCACCCCTCATATATATATATATATATATATATATATATATATATATATATATATATATATATATATATATATATATATATATATATATATATATATATATATATATATATATATATATATATATATATATATATATATATATATATATATATATATATATATATATATATATATATATATTTATATATATTTTACTAACTAATGGAAAGTTTTATTGTGTTGAATATATATATATATATATATATATATATATATATATATATATATATATATATATATATATATATATATATATATATATATATATGTATATATATATATACATATACATATACATATATATAAATATATATATATATTATATAAATAAGAAAAACATATATAATATATATTTTATATTTATATAATATATCAAGTAATCTCTTCTTGTAATCCACATTCATGAAATAATACGGTCATAAAAAAATATCCATTTATTATTTACCTAACTAACTGCATCACAAGTTAAGCCATTATTGTTAAATTGTCAAATTCAAAACCTTATAAAAAGGCAACAGATGGCCTAATTTATTAGCATGTGGGACTTTACTTATTTTTATTAGGCTAATAAGTAACTTTTTAAGTCTTTACTTGTTATTTGTTATGCTAATAAAAAAAATTCACGCATGCGTATTTTAGTTCTCATATTGCAATTACGAACGGTCAAACTCGTAATATAAACGTTGAACTAACGTGGAATCAACGTCGATTTTATTTGATAGTTTTAAACAAATTTTTCAACGTTGATACAATGTTGATTTTTGGTTATACGACGTCGCGACTAAAATTCAACTGTAAATCAACGTCGAAATAACGTCGTGTGCCCACTGGGTCACTATAGAAAAACTGGTTCAATTGAACAGAAAGTTGCAGTAACATTGCATTTTTCTCGGGGTCTTTTGACATTCAAACAATCTTTTTGGTCTTGGTTGTTCAGCAGTATGTGAAATAGTTCACTTAGTAACAAATGCAATTGTTAATCATTTAAATACACAAATATATTATCTACTTCGAGAAGCAGAGGTAAAAGAAATTATGAAACAATTTAAAAAGACATCAAGTAACCTGTAGTTAATGCAATAGATGGGTGCCATATAAAAAGCACCAAAAAAGAGTCAAGAGGACTACAACTTAATCAACATCTTCCCTGATTGATAATATAAAAACAACCGATTTATTTAACGAATCTCATAAAAAAGGCATAATTAAAAGTGACATTTCTGATCACTTCCCTAATTTCTTTTCCATTAATACTAAAATGGAAACGTCACCAATACCCCAACGGGCATTCGAACATTTAATCAAAGTTTAGTTAATGTTCGTTCTAAATGTTTAGATTTAATTTAGTTTCGATTTAGAACGTAGGTCAATCGAATGTTCCATTTAAACCATATCTAAATTGTTCGTTTTAAACGCTATTTAAACTCCATCTAAATCTTTCGTTTAAAACTTCGCAACGTTAAACTTTATTTTACGGCGCTTATTTAAAGAAGCATAAATAAATAAAAAATATTGATAAACGAGTCAAACTTTTCTTTTATTTAAGCTGCTTTAAGTAAGTACCGTAAAAAAAAGTTAAACGCTGAACGCATTATCTAAATACTCATAAACAAATCAAACATTAAACAGATAATTTTTTATTTATATAAGTCTAAGATACAAGTAAAATCGTTTTATTTATTATTATATGCATTATCGTATTCGTCATCATGATCGGTTCCATAATGATCATCGTCATCTTTGTTTGAACCGATTAAGCCTCTTCGTTTTAAGAATTAGAAAAAAGGACATAATCATTCCTATTTCCACCTATACGGAAGGGAGCCATTCTAAGATGGAATTCAATACACGATACTGTATTGCGGATACCGAAGTCATACAATCTCTTTTCTAAAAATAATAAAAATAACTCAATAAACATCTTCATTCTATTCATATAAATCATTCATTTAACAACTTTATAAATCCATAGTTTTATAGATTATAGAAGATTGTACATTAGTAGAGTGTACATTGAGTAACTATGGTAACAATTGATAGAAAACTTTTCTTTAAAACTCTGTAAAATATAAACTTTTATATAATAAAAACCTTATTAAAAAAACTTGTAGTTATCGCAGTTATCAAAATCATATATGTACTAACACACAATTTAAGGTAAAAATTAAGTATTACTTGATCAATCCATTAGTTTGTGCTTTGATATAGTAGTTATGTGAATAATGGTATTTTAGAACTCGATTTTCGGGCTTACAGAAAAGGAGACTTTGCAAGTACTAATGGGTTTTTGCAATCCTCATAACAATCTGTAAAAGGAATAACAAAACATTTTATCCAAAGCAATGACAAATAAATTTAAAAAGTAAATTATTTAACATTTTGTGAATAAAAATTATAATATCACAAATTAAAATAACAATTCAATAAAATATCAAGCTTTTGGTTCTTCCAACCAAACAGACTGGCAATATGACATTTTGCTAAAATATTAACACTAATTTGCTTGAAGGTACGTCAACACATAACATTAACTTGTAACTAAACTTGTTAAAAGTGTTTTAAATAAGTTTAGTCGTCTAGTTTTTTAACTTTTTTTGCTGATTTTAGTTTTCCTAATTCCGAGGGATGATATACATATACATACTATATATCTTAACCCGTAAAATTTCAAGCTTGGTAGGTCTTTTATAACATAATAAAATAAATGAAAAAATAATGCTGTGAATATTTCAATAGCTTTTAGATATAGAGCATAAGATAAAAACAGAACAATTTGAACTCTTGTTTAACTAATTTAAACTTTAAAGATTCGAACCAATCATCAACGTGCCTTTCAAATATAACTCTTAATTATTATTTTAGGAAAATCTAAATTTTAAAGGAGTAAAAACGTCACAAAAAATCAATTAACAACTTGCATGTGTATTTGGCTGTTTCCTGCTGCTTTAATTATTGTTGCAACTGACTGGACCGTATATAAAATATTAAATGAAATTAAACACGCAAAACTTTACTAACAATAAAAAATATATTTGCCCGGATTTTAGAAAATTATGTAATATAGCTATATATATTATTGTTCAAACCATGTTAACTTTTCTACTAAAGAGAAAATAAATGATATAATAAATAAATCATATCAGACATAGGTAAATTTATTTTCCCTTTGATGGTTATCATATAGGAGTATGAATAATACTTACCCAGCAAACATGTCAACGTTGAATCAACGTTAAAAACCAGTCGCAGCGTAGAAAAAGCGTTACAGCCACAAAAACAACGTGCTTTCAACGTTGAATCAATGTCTGTTTTTGTATACTAAATCGCGGTAAATTGAAACGTTGAATAAGCGTTGAAAATGTAACGTAATTTAGCTTCTTTAAATAAAACGTTGATTCAACGCCGACTCAACTTACGCAAAAAGCTACTTTAACAACGTTTCAAAATTAATGCTTTATCAACCATCAAAAAAAACCGCTTTTTAAACGTTACATTTTCAACGTTGAATAAGCGTATAAATTTAAACGTATCTTATCTTCTCAAAAAATCGCGTTTATTCAACATTGAGTAAAAGTACGCAAATAATCACTGTAAAAACGTTGCAAAGTTTAAGGTTTATCAACGTTAGATATAAACTGCTTTTTAAGCTATTACAAAACAACGTTTATTCAATGTTACATATACCAACGTGGTAATAAAAAAAAACGTGGAAAAAGTGTTACTTTGCCAACGTTAATAAATCGTTGTTTTAACAACGTTGAGGAAGTAGCACATTGACAATTATTGTCTCATTAACTAGCCATTACAAATATAATTTGCCGTTATAGAAAGGCATGGAAAACTTAATAGAATGCATGCAGATGGTATAAAAAATATTTTAATAAAGTTGTATTTTATAATCTATTTTTATTGCAACTGATTTAAAACTTTTAGATTTTATAACAAATTGTATATAATAGACATAAATTTGGTAAATTCGATTTATTCAGGTTATTTTTGTCTACATTTTTGTTTTGTTTTAATTTGACCATTTTAATAAAATGATATTTAAAAAACTTGATTTTTTAAACATGCCGTTTCTTAGTTAGAAATAGTACTTTATTTTAATAATATTCAGATGTATAAAGTAATATCAAAACTAATAAAATAAAACAAGTCAGACTTAATTTAGTCTGTAACTTTTAGAGAAATATTATGTTTATTTGTCGGTATAATATATATATATATATATATATATATATATATATATATATATATATATATATATATATATATATATATATATATATATATATATATATACATATATATATATATATACATATATATATATATATATATATATATATATATATATATATATATATATATATATATATATATATATATATATATATATATATATATATATATATATATATATCTGTGTGTGTATGTGTAAATAAAACAAATAATGTCTATTTAGGTAACCTTTTTAATGGCTTTACAATCTTGGGTTTTAGTTGTTTATTTTGAAAACGAGATTGAAGCAGAGGCAGTTGTTCCATCTTGTTGGGTAAAAGATGGTTGGTTATTTTGGCCAACTGCTGTTCATCCAATGAGAGCTGCCTATAATAAGTTTCCAGTTGATGACTCCTGGAACAAGCTTAGAGTTAAAAAAATTAAAGTAACTGGAGGTCATTAAGTTTTGCTGTATTCATTGCTATTTTAATTTTTTTATATGAATAAAAATACTATTATAGTTTTATATGAAGTACAATATCAAATAAACTTTTCTCTTTCTATATTTGGATAAGTAATATTTTGAATCTGTTTTTATTATTTTTGCTTAGATATAAATTATAATCTCTTTACACTTATTTTACATTTTAGTTTTTTGCATTATTGTTTATATTTGTTTTACTAAATAATTACTAATAGATAAAGTAGTATGTGAAGGGTTTAATTTCACAACTACAGAGGACTCTGAAGAAGAATGTGAGTAATTATGTTTGGAAATAATTGTGTTTTTCTTCAGATTAGACTTTTTTTTGTTTTATAAATGATAAAGAATAAATAAAAAAAGGAACTGTATGTATTTTGAAAAATAAATATGTATTCATGTTTTATCTTAAAGCATGTATATTAAACACTCGAGAAAATCGTTCAAGATCACTAGTTTATCCTGATGTAACAAAATCAACAAGAGATCGTTCACGCTCCCCGATTGTTCAATCAGAGATAGTCAACTTTGAAATTAATAATTCAAAATCACCTAAATTACCTCTTCATCCTAAAAACATAAAGAATTCTAAAAGTTCTGATTATGTTCACAAAAAAAATTGGATTCATCAAATTCATCTTCTCCAGCTTTTTTGGCCGGAACTTCTAAACAGTCAATTAGTGCGTCTTCTCAGTTTCCTTTAAGTACTGAAAGTAAGTACTATTTTTATAATGTTCTAGTTTTAATTTATATTTTAAGTTAGTCCATATGCAGGTATGGGGGAAAAGAGAATAACCCTAAAGTATAAAAATAGAGGAGGGGTGTTAAAGATAGCAAGTATGCAGATTATCTTTTTTATGAATTTTTTTGTAAAACAGGGTCTTCTTTTTTAAACACAAAACTGCATTTTTCTTAAGATCTTAAACATCTGTGTCCATTGTATGTTTTTTTAAACAGTCTGTTCTTAAATTGAATACATATATTGTTTTAAAAATAAATTTTTATCATTGTCATTATATATCATGGTAGTTACAAACTATGCTCTTTAAAATCTAGGCTTATTTTAAGGTTTTTAATATACATTATATATCATAGTTACAAACTATGATCTTTAAAATTTAGGCTTATTTTAAGGTTTAAACATTTTTTCTTAAAACCTTAAATAAAAATACATTGGCTGAATAAGATAATAAAAGTAATACTTTAGTACTTTATAAAAAATTTTTTTTTTAACCTTAACAAAAAGATAAATACGTTATCTTTAAGATAAGCCTAAATTTTATAGATCATAGTTTGTAACTACCATGATATATAATGGCGATGATACAAACTTAATTTTACAATCTTAAAAATATTTTATAATTGCATGATATTATAAGTTATTTTTTTCAATAATTGTTGTAAATTTATTCCTCAAAATTATTATAGCATTTCAGTATTTATAATATTAAAAATGTCAAAAACATCTTTTTATTTAATTTAAATGAAAATCTACCAAAATTTGATGAAAAAAAAAATAACAAAAAAGTTTTTGCAATAAATTGAATTAAGTTATGCATTTCAAAAAACAATAAATGATATAAGGCTATATATTAAAAATTTTTTTCATTTAAATCAAATTTTATATATATATATATATATATATATATATATATATATGTATATATATATATATATATATATATATATATATATATATATATATATATATATATATATATATATATATATATATATATATATATATATATATATATATATATATTTACAAATGCTATATTAGGTCACAAAAAGTGCGTTTTAATTTTTTGAAAAAAGAAGGCAAACAAACAATGATGAAAAATATTGATCCCTGTCTTAACCCAAAACTTTTGCCTATGTGTTATCAACTCCCTTGTGAGTTCTCCCTAATTCAGTTGATGTATTTACTGAAGACCTCACCTCTCACAATATATATATATATATATATATATATATATATATATATATATATATATATATATATATATATATATATATATATATATACAGGGCCGGCGCGAGTAGGTGTCACGTGGGGGGGTGCCATTACAACTTTTGCTGACTAAAAAAAAAAAAAAAAGGTCCTCGTTTTCCAAAATTTGCTGACTGTCATGACGACATTTGCCGACTGTCTAACCTATATCGAAAGGGGGTCCACATTTGCCGACTAACTAGGTCCAATTTGCCGACTAAGGGTCCAGTTTGCCGACTAAAAATCATTGATGGGGGGGGGGGTGTCACACCCCCCTATCGCGCCGACCTTGTATAAATATATATATATATATATTAAAGCCTGGGTCTATTCAAACAGTGATTATTTTTTATGCCCTACGTTAACAAAAAAAAATATTAATTTATACTTTACTAACTAGATTGCATAGATTAAGTATTTGTATAGAAAAATCCTCAAGGGATTAATTAAGCGTCTTTTGAAAAAGAAATAAAAATTTTTTCAACTCAGCAATATAGATAGATATACCTATATATATGTCTATATATGTACATATATATATATATATACATATATATACATTTTTATAAATATATATATATATATATATATATATATTAAAGCCTGGGTCTATTCAAACAGTGATTATTTTTTATACCATAGGTTAACAAAAAAAAAAATTAATTTATACATACATATATAATATATATATATATATATATATATATATATATATATATATATATATATATATATATATATATATATATATATATATATATATATATATATATATATATATATATATATATATATATGTATTTAAATTGTGTCATTGTCTTTTCCAAAATTGAGTGTAGCAGGTTGGAATCTGGAATTAGCTTACAGCTTTAAATATCTTGGTCATATTGTGAAAAATTATCTAGCAGATGATACTGATATAAAAAAAGAGATAAAAAAATCTATATACTCGAACAAATATGCTAATAAGGCGCTTTTACAGGTGTTCAAGCCTAGTCAAAGTAAGACTGTTCCAATCACATTGTATATGTATATGTAATGCTTCTTTATGGAACAGTTTTAGCACAAGAACATTAACACACCTACGATATTGCTATAACAAATGTTCAAAAATGTTTTTTGGATATAGAAAATATTGCAGTCTGACTCAGAAGTTTTTAGAGTTAAGGCTCCCAACTTTTGAAACTCTTTTGTTTAACTATAGGATCAGTTTAAAGAAACAGTTTGTTGAATGTGCCAAAAGAAACCTTACTTTCGGTCTAATTAACAGAGTATTAGGACTGTCCAAATAATGGATAATTTTAGATGACTGTATCTGTTCTTTTTATTGACTATTATTTTATTTATTTTTATCTATGGACCTTGTGCCTATTTATATGTACATGTTGTTTGAATTAAATACATTAATTATATATATATATATATATATATATATATATATATATATATATATATATATATATATATATATATATATATATATATATATATATATATATATATATATATATATATATATATATATATATATATATATATATATATATATATGAAATAAGTGGTTTTATAGCATTCATCCTTAATAAATTGCTTTGTTTTTTAGAATTTAAGAAAAAGGTTTTTAAACAACTTTAAGAAATTAAAAATATGGTAAAGGATCTTCAAAATGTTTCTTCAGTTGTATCCGAAGATCTGCAAATAAATGCATTAAATTCAATAGAACAACTTATGGAGGTAGATGCTACCTTGAATGACAGTGTCATTTTTTCTAAATGGGTAGGTTGCTCTGATGCTATCGCTAGTTTGATTTTTTTCTTTATGTTGTGATGGTAAATACATTTATATCGTTAACCAAGAAGTTGATTAAACAATATAATTTAATTTTATTTATTTAATTTCTCATTCTATACATAATTACTTTTTGTTTTTTCAACTTTCGATGTTTTTTAGTTTGTTTAAAAGTTTCAAGGATTTTATTATAGATTGCCTTCAGTTATATAATAATTAAAACATTGATCAAAGATTTTTTTGAAAGCAGGTATCGCAGATAGCGAAAATTGGTGGAGTCAACTTAAAAGATAATGTAAAACGTGTTATTGAGCGGTAGGTTAATTAGTTGTTAATGGATTATTAAAAAAGTGTTTGCAAAATATATTTATTATATTAAATATGATTATACCCTTTTTTAAGCATATCATTAAATGCTTTACTTCCTGTAGCATAAACGTTGTACAATACTGCATAATATTTATTCAAATAATGATCTTTTTAGGCTGTTAACAATTGAGTTGCGCTGTTTGTTAAACATGAAGGAGCAAACTAATTCCACAAACAAAACTAAACAAAAGTTGGCTTTTTCAAAGACAAAATTGTATCGTGTTTTAGTTGGTAATATGTTTTGTTTAAACTTTTTATGTATGCAGATT